AACAAGACAGAGGGGACTGGGTATTTATTATTCGGTAATAAGCAAGTGGTATATGATACTCTGAAAAACCAGATTGCCGTGGTGGATGCGAGAGAGAAGGATATTCTCGTTGTACATCTTATATTAAACGTAACGTGGATCAATTATCTCTATTTATAAAATTTTATTTATTTAACGTAAAAATATTAAGTATATGAAAAGACATAAAGAGAAGGCTTCATATACGAAATCTACTGTAATTACGATGACTGCAATAATTTATTGTTTTTAGTCAAACAGGTTATTATTATTTTCTTTGTAATGGAAAATTAGTAGATTTCTTAACTCACACAACGTTAAATAAAATAAGATTCAATTAATCAAACAACCATAAACATGAGAATCAAATTTCAATTTGTTGAATGCAAAATTAAATAAAATTTGATTAAGTTAATAATCGTAAAATTAAATAAGCCGATAAAAATTGTCGCAACTTATATATATATATATATATATATATATTTCAGCTAATTTTAAATATAACTTTTAACAATTTCTAGTCTTGATAAAATTATTGCTTTGCATTAAAAATACTAAAAAATTTTTAATTTAATTACATTAATTTGTTACAGTAATATGTTTATTATAGGTTTTCTAAATTACAAATGTACATCACAATCATGTTGCATAAACTATATGAAATTTCATCTTAAACAGATAAAACTTAAATATAAATTGGAAATATTATTCGTTAACTTCTTAGTTAAATAAGTTACTTCTTGGCTTTCCTTCTAAGTTAAAGAAAAATAATTTGCACGATTCGGGAATTATTTTATATAAAATAAAAAATAAAATATTATATATAATGAAATTTTAATCCTATAATGTTACACGGTGCAAGCGACGGCTCGTGTTTTAACGCGCGCTCTCCGGCGGCTCAAGAATGACGTGAAAAGTGTGAATTTCATACGAAAATTAAATAAAGAGAAGTTAGATTATTCACTTTTTAGTCAAATTCTATATTTCTCGTAATTTCTTGTAAACTTGACTGAATCTTATCCAATAATTCGTCAATACTTTTATATCTCGCGATTCTTCAAGAAAATAAAATATACTGCAATAAAGTTGCGAAAACTATCCGTGTTCGACGTATCGTCGCTGATAATACAAAATATTGCCAACAACCAAGCGTTGCGTGTCGTCCAAGCGTTTCGATCACCGACGAACTCGTTTTCGGCACATATCCGGCTTGTCGATATCAGTTTACGATATATATCGGGGTGCATGAGAAATCGCTTTCGTCGCGACCCCCGCGAGACCGTTGATCTCCCTTTGATCGTAATATTGCTGTACAGTCGATACCAATGTTCGCTTTAACTGCTGTCATTTTTAGCCACGGTGATATCGCTCATGTCTCGCCATCAGATACCGTTCACGAAGAGGCCGGGCTCTTCAGATAAGAGGGAAACGTGTCGCCGGACGAGCGTGTGTGTACGCGTCACCCAACAGGATGATGCGTGGCACGGGAGTCGTCAACGCTCGTGGAACATTATTATTGTTCCGGTCTAGCTTATCGTGCGCCGTGGCCGGCAATTTATTTATTTTGTGGTCTGCAATTGGATTACCAAACACGTGTGATCGATGTCACGTTGCGACTGTTTAGAGGAAACGTCGTATTATTATGTATATACATATATATAGAGATGCAGGTATAACTCTAGAAAACTATCACTATATCGAGTGGTATATATTATTGCTGTTGATACGTAAATTTTACTTACATAGATCACTCTTAGTTAATGCAATATTTTTTATATTTCACATTTTTAATGACAAGCAATATATTTATATTTTAGACTTTTATAACACAAGTAACATAATTATTAACTTGAAAAAGGAAAGAGAGAGAGAGAGAGAGAGAGAATAGTAGATCATTAATTCAGTCTTGAAATGGTATGGAATATGTAATTCAACTGTATGTGTCTCTTCTTACACATTTAAATAAAATATATAATAACAAAATAATTACGTATATTTGCTCAAAAAATTAAACTTACTTATCACAATTTCTATTATAAATAATATTGTATTAATTTGGACTCACTACCAGTGAGTCCAAATTGATACAAAATGGACAGAACTTGAGAAGCTTGTCTTTGCTTTTAGCAGATTAGACTTCCTGAAGACATAGCTTAGCTCAACGATTTCGTTCACTTGTACATAAAATGTATAATGTATTGATAGCATTCTAGGGTTAATAGATTGAATCTCGATCGTAAGATGTGCAATATATGTATTCTCCCTAATTTAACATACGAGTTAATCTCAAAGTACACGTTAACTTTGATAACTTTTTGATAAGGAAAATTTGTTTTCTTTAATTTTAATTGTATTAGGTGATTAAAGTAGATTAGATAACAAAAAAGGTAATTGTTAAAAATTATGGTTACCCACATTATGTTCAAGTTTATGTTACATTATAATCTTATAGTTGTTTTAAGTTGCATCATTAAATAAGTACCTGATTAGATAATTGCTATCAGTTGTTCTGTTATCAGAATCACAATCAATATTTAATTTATTTCATCAAATTATTTCTCAACATTCGTATCGATTCGTTACGATTTGGTGTTTGAGATTTCAAAAGACTGGTTCATTCGTGCTCTGTAACATAATTTAATAACATAATGTAATATATTACATAATCATGATTATTGTACATTTATTTCTATTTTGTGAAAAACTATTTCGTCTTTTCTCACTTGAGAATATCATCTTTTGAATAAACTATACAGTACGTCCGTGTGATAGAAAAATATCCATACTTCCGGACTTGTCCCAGGAATAGTGAAATATCTCGCGCGTTTCTATCAATGCGTTTCCGCGAACAGATAGGCGCTACGTACTACAGGTTCGCGGCCACGTAAGGAGGAGGACGCGAACGCGGAGGAAGAAGGAAAAGCACACAGCCGGGAGTAGGTGGAATCTCGAGGCGCGCGGCGATGGTATCGTTCCATCGGTGGTTCCGCGGTGGTTAGGCCGGTAGCGCCATGCTGGCACCACGATTGGTCTCTTCGGCTTATACGTAGGCGTGGCGAGCGTTGCGGGTGGGAGTCAGAGTGGTGACCCTGCTTCACGGCGGATAGAAACCGGCGGCCGGTCTCCTGGTCGACCCATGGAGGGTTACTCCTCTGCTGGGCCCACCACCACTGGCCTGCGCCTCCACTCTCCGCGATCTATGCCACGCTCTCCTGACTTATGCTACGCCCGGCACAGGCCCGCCAGTATACGATACGCTTCTACGAAGCGAGCACCGCATCGTACGCGCTCACTCCGCGAACCTGCCAGCGCACGAGGGTTCCGCCACCAACCTCTACCAATTAGACCTCGCGCTCGCGCTACTGCTCCTCAGCATCGTCCCGAGCGTATTAGTGCGGATAGATTCCAGACCTCCAGGTCTTGGACGATTCGGCGAAGGGGATCGTTTCATTTGGCGATTTTCATTAATCAGTTCCGACGGATCGCAAGGGTGAAGGAAGAGCGAGGATGGTAGGGGGAAGAGATGGCTTTCTCCTTCCTGTTCGAGACAGATAAGGGAGGGACTGTGACACCGATCGGGTGGCGGGAGGGGGGACCAGTGAGGACACGCAAGTCAATTTTCGCGTACGTGTGACACGATCGGATTGAGAAGTCTATATAGTGATAAGCGTCTCGCGTCGGTTGACCAACTGGATATTCCAAGTGTTCTGATGGGCAGATGATATACCGAGATATATCGCGTCGTATGACCGTCACGCAAGCGAATGATAGTAATATTGAGTGATACGCCTAAAAGGTGCTGGCGCTCGTCGGGATAGTGAGAGTGAGATTTACGTGTATCTGCAGTGAGGATTAGATAACGGCGATAGGGGGTGAATCCCTTGTTTCCATTCCAGGCTAGAAATGGTAACAGCCATACGAATGGCACCAAGTGTCTTGAACGTTGCTGACGTTCTCCGTGCGATGTATCGTAAAGTTGACTCCAATTCTATCGGCTGGGAAAGTGAATGACTAGCGATTGCAATCTGATTGATGTCGCGCCGTGATTTTTCATGTGACAGTGAACTTGTTCCGTAGAGAATGCTGGCGGAAACATGTGCTCTGTGTACAGTGTATTGTGAATTTCACATTGTGAATGATACCGACGAGTCTTTGATCGAGAATTTTCTTAACGACGCTAGGCATGCATCACGACTTTTTATGAAATCTAGGGAACAAGAGTGCGAACCACCCGATGCGTACCCTTTGAAAGTCATCCGCTAAACTATTTCTCCCCCCCCCCCCCCCCTCCTACTATTACGATCCAATGACAGTTTGCTGTTCTTGATCGTCGGAGCTGCTAAATGTCCAATTGACGAGTGATAAGCTTAGAGAACCCGATCTCGATTCGTTATCGAAAGAATCCCGCGTCCGTAGGGGACACACGCTGGTGTCGCACGACTTCGCTCGAGAGGGCGAACTTGTGGCGGTAACAGCTGTCGCAGCTGCCGTGTCGTGATCGGTGGTGTCATCAGGAGCAAGTGCCCCGACGACGCCAGCAGCTGGTGGCAGCAGTGGCACCGACGGTGACAGAGGATGACGTAGCGTCGTCGCTAGAGGCAAGGGGCGTCACGGTCTGCACGGTGTACGCGCTGGACAGAACCGCCTCGGCGGGGCTGGGGGTGGTCGGGGGTGTCGGTGTCGGTGTCGGTGGTGGCGGCGGTGGCGGCGGCGTCGGCGGCGGCGGTATTGGTATCGGTGGCGGTGGCGGCGGCGGCGGCGGCGGCGGAAGCGGCAGCGGGGGCGGTGGTACACCGGGGATCGCCGGGATCTGTGGACCGCCGACCGCGTCCCTCGCGCCGACGGATTACGTGACGGCGGCATGCTATCCCCCGGGATCGCAACTCACCCTGACCGCCACTCACCCTCAGCCCCACGTCGTTGATCCCGCGATGACGCCTACCTCGGCGCCGGTGCCGACTCCGACATCGGCATCGGGCCCCAACAACCCCGTCGCCATGAGCCAGCTGGGGACCGTCTACGCCACCAAGAGACGGCGTCGGAACGGAAAGAGGTCGGTGCGAGAGTCCATTAAATCGATACGACAGACGGAACGAGAACGACTAATGTTATTTTGTGACTCGGAAGCGGAAAGAAGGTAGTGCTACTTGCGTGACATTCGCTCCTTTTTATCTCTGAGTCGTAAAACGATACAAGTCGTTCTCGTTTTAAATTATTCAGATGAAATGCGACGAGATCTGATTCATTTAGGAGGTGTGTTTGAGAATATCAAATTGACGTACTTAAACAAGGACTTTGAGTCCTGAAAAGGAATATTGGCATTAGAAATATAAAAATAGGAGATTAACAGAGAGAGATTTATGTTTCAAAGAGAGAGGACTTCTGAAAACCAATGAACACTACGGCAGTGAGTTTTGCTTACAAAAGAGAAGTAAACGTTTAATTAATGAATAAGGTGATGATGTTGCACATTCATCCTAATGTAATTAAGCATAGTAGGAAACAATTATTAACCAAGGAAGGAAAGAAATAAATACGAGCTCGTATAATGTAATTGAAAACAAGAAAAATGTTAGCATATAAAAATAAACTTTTACGCGTTAGAACAATATTTTTATATTACGATTAACTGTCTCACGACAAAAATTATAATTTTAATACAAAATATGATCGCGCGAAATTGTCGTCTCTCGCAAAAATCTCAAAGTTAATTCTCTAAGTGTGATTTAACATTCTATGATTTAATTGGCGGACGTTTTCCGCGCACTCAATTATTGAAGTGACTCAAAAAGCGGAATATGGGATTAGCTCTGAAAGGCTCCGAAGTATCGCAGTTCGAAACGCATACATAATTCACGCGTCTGAAGCCCGTGCTAATGGGGACGTAGACGTGTGTTCGCACGTAAAGTTGTGCGTTCGCTCGTAAAGTTAAGTCGATGACTGATTCACAGACATACCTCAGTATTCATTCAGTTAGACATTCTCGCATGAGTGGCTTGAGCACGCTTATACTTGATTTTGTATTAATTGATCGTACATGGTCTGTTATAGATTTTTACGAAATTATACTTTTATGAAAACATAATTGATTTTTTTTTATTACGGAACACTTGACACATCATATCTTTATTAATTAAATGTTATTTATTTAACAATATCAAATCTTATTTGGACCGTGAGCGTTTTTAATATACCGATGAGACTAAGCCGATCAAGCTGGATGAATTTATATACTACGATTATAAAGATCTAATTCCAATTTAATCATTTGTTCGACATACGCGCGTGTCAGTTTAGATTGTGCCCAAAATTATTATCTTTCATGGCTCATATAATAAATTTAATCGATTTAATAGATATTATATAATATTTCGAAGGTCTTCTTTTTTTGACTTTTCTTTAATCTCTTGTCTTTGAAAGTTTATTCGGCATATGAAAATGATGATCGCATTATGATTAAAATAATGCTTCTTTCGCGAAAGGAAATAACGTTCAGTACCATGAAGCAGTTTTCAAGGCGTAATAATAGATGCGCATCACAAAAGATCCGTCGTTACGTTCATAATGTTACGACTGATGACCGACGAAATTGCAGGTGCACGGGTCGCCAGAAAATGTTTCCTATGCATATGCGGCAAATTAGGTAGAAGTCAGAAGCTCGCAAACGATCATTGGTGATTTGTCAGACAAGATACGGTTATATATTAACAATGATGGGGCCGGAATAAGATGTACGGTCGCGTGTTTGTTTGTTCTGGAACACGTGTATCAGGCTATTTTTCCCGCACCAAATCGAACGTGCGATGCTCCTCCTTTGTGCTTTCTGTCTCACGCCAATTTAGTTTTTCTAGACGCAAACGGTTACACCACGATTATTCGAGGAAGCTTTAATGCAATGTAAGTTTCTGTCTGCTTATAGAGATACGTATACATTCGTGTTTGACGAAACATTCAACAATTATGTGTGTCATATTATTATTAGAAAGTATCCTATACAGTTCAATCTGAAAAAAAATGCAATTCATCTGTCAAAATATCAAGTTGCACGTCGTGTTGGTTTAACAACTACAGAATCTTAATGTATATATTACATTTAAAAAGTAATTTATGATTTTAAAAAAATATTTTTACACGATATTTTATTTTTTCATGTTGATGTAGTTGAGTTTGATAATTGATGCGTCCTAAAAGTTTTGTTACGTTTAATCAAGCTCGCGTGTGTTAATGGAATTAAGATTGGCAGCACTTGCATAGGAATGCGTAGTTCTGCCGTTCTTCTGCAGTTCAGTAGGTTGATTGCTTCAAAAAGAAGTGTGAGCAAATTGGCAAATAATTAGACGAGTAGGAACATTTAAACTTTCAAAATTTCGCTTTAAGAATACTTGTGTGTTATATACATTGAGTATCAATCTACAATTGATATTTCAAATAGTAGTACATAATGCTCTAATAGCAAACGTATTCTATTTTCTGCAAAATAATACGATTTCTCCGAATGGCACATTAAAAGATTAAAAAACTAAACGAACATTTTTTAAATAAAATAAATAATTAAAAGATTGCGGTTGCGCGCGCAAAATAACAAGTTAAAAAGAAATATTTAAAACGGATCTTGATGCTTAATAACTTTCTTGCATGAATTCGAACATTTTCCGGTTTTACCAAACTATGTATTGATTATTAGTGCTTTGAAATAACAGCCCTATACCAAAGCTGGAATACATAATATTACAAATTAAAGTAGCAAATAATGTAATAACACATGCAGATACTAATTTTTAAAACATCTTTAAACATATTGTAAAAAATTTATAAAAAGTAAATTTTCCATTACGTCATACTTAAAATTAACACGTGCCAATATAAACTTGCCGAAGAAATCGCAGCATCGGTTTAACTAAAAAGAGGAAAACAGGGGCATATTGCGTTAGTATCACATTGCTTTAGCAAATCGAGTGCCAGAGAATTTTTTCATCGCTTCGCCGAGCGAGAATGTGTGTCTCGCTCGGACGCTTGAGAAATTAAGGCAATTTGCACCAATCTGGTAAGCTCTTAATCCCCTCATGACGATCTCGCATGCTCCCAGGTGCTTCTCTTTCGCTCGCGAGCACGCGCGACCGCGTGCGTGAGTGCGTACACGCGCGTTGTGCGCGGGTGCGTGTGCGACGCGACTCGCGAGGGGTTGTACGGTGCGGTGCGCGTTCGATGCATCAAAAGGAGGATGCACCTATAGGGTAGTCGGCCGCTAAGCCGACAGAGATGGAGCGGCTCGGCTGATTGCGTAGAAGCGGAAGACTGAAATCTTACGAGCCGCGCAAGTCTCTCCTTCGAGCCGTGTTCTTCCGAACCGCGTCTTCCGCAACCTTGTTAACCTCGAAATGGATCGCGGTTGCAACGACGCGACGCATTGCAGACGCACTTCCAAATGCAGAGTACTTTGCTGACTTGCCGGCCACTCAAGGCGAACGTGTGCGAAGGCTAGCCACTGATACAACGTATACGGGGTAGCCCATTAACTTCAACCACTTGACGTCTTGTGTGCCCACTTAAATGTCTTCATAAAGTATCGCGAGGCAGGAGGCATGATTAATTTACTGAATTAATTTTTGAAGGCTGTCTCGGAACTTTTATTAATACGTCATACGTTTTCTTATTGAAAGAAGCTCCAACTTTTATTCCGCGTCCGGCGAGGAAGACTTCGTGAACTTTTGTAAATTTACAGAAAAGTAACGTGATGAATATTTCGCTTTTTAAACAAAATGTTCTTTAAAAGAATCAGAATATGAAAAAAAAAGAAAAAGTTTGTTTTGGAGTGTAAAGATATCGATATTGATATTTTTACTTTGATAGTAAGCGTAGCCGCGGAAAAATTTTTATGATAACTATACAAAGATCAAAATTAAATTTATATAATTACACATGCTTTACACATTTTTATACATTGCTCTCACTGTTGGTAATCAATAATATTTCGTTAATTTAACTGATATAATAAAGTTAAACAGTTTAACTCAAGAAATGTATTGACTTAAATTGTAAGTGCCTTAATCTGGACGTTGTTTACTTTGTGACTAAGCAATTCAATAATAGAAGAAGATTGATCTATATGTTGACATACGCATATGGAAGTTAAAAATACAGAATGTTATTCGACACAAGCCGACATAAAGGATTAGAGTTATCACTGCTCTTCTTTATAACAATAAAGTGCTTATTCGAATGTTTATTCAAGCAGGATACACGATATACTTGTACGATTACGACGACTGCGGAGCCCCGCAGGCTCAAGAAGCGTCAATTTCTCGACGTTGGAGACGATTTCCTTCCTCCCCCGTAGCTTCGAGATCAACGTGTCACGTTGAGTAATCGGTCGAACCCTTTTCCAGTTCACGTAGGTGCCTTCCACGGTGAGGAGCGTACCCCGTGATCGCGCCAAGAATCACGAACGGGCGTAATGGAGTTTTAAACGGTCGTTCGAGGCATACGGGCAACGATCGGCGATCTTCTTCTCATTCCTTTCCCTCGAGTCGTCTTTGATACGATACGCGAGCGAGGGGAAAGAGAGGAGCACGAACGGGGCTCTATGCCAGAAAATGCCCGCAGGCTTTCGGCCCGGTTCGTTCCCCTACGCTTCTTCGGTTGCTTTGGCTCCTCTAAGGGATCCCTCAACGAAGTCCTTCCCTCGGGCTCCGCCGGTCCTAGGCGAGTGTACCTCGGAAAGTATACGTAAGCACGCGTCTAGAGTGTGTCATTCTGTTAAATTCCATTGATACAACTTCGCGCGGGCAGTATATCGCTTCGTTTCGATCTCCGAATGTGCGAATGAATTATCAAAGGCCGCGACGATCGATAAAGCTGTTGTATATGTATAGCGCTATAGCTGTCGTATGTACGGTGAGACTTTAATGAATACACATTGAGAATATTTAGAGTCAGTTGTACACAATTTTAACTTTGTTGTGGCTCACGAGTGTCGCGCAATTTATTCAAACTTTTGTCCGCAAGCATTTTAAATTATGTGTATCACGTTGAAACTTATCTTTTCTTTAAAAA